GATTACTATCTGTTGAATGGTTAAAAAAATGTGCAAACTGCCCTTCAAAACACTAATAATTTATACTTCCATTAACAACTTGTTCCCATACAACACTATTTTTGTCATCTTTACCAACAAAACAGAATAATATTCTTATCCATGGTTTTGCTTTTCTTTTTTTTTTTTTTTGTTGTTTTTTTTGAGATTTTGCTTTTCAAGGGTTAACAAAGGTTAAATGTGGTCTGAAAATTTAAATGGAAAGTTCCAGAAATAAATTTCAAATTGTGAACCATTCTGGGTAGTATGATGAAATCTTAACACTATCCTACACTAACTGGCCCTGGACATGAGGCATTCCTTTGTGTAGCCTATCAATGCTACACACACTATCTAGCTATTAGTCACCCAGAAACCGATTCTGTCAATCAGATTGATGTTCTTGAAATCACAGGGCTCATATTGAATGAACCATAGCAATATCCTGATCTGGTGTATGTCACAATGCCTATGTCATTCTCCTTACTTCACTGCATTGCTGTGGGATGGTCTGTATGTCAAATGTGCTGCTGATTGGTCAATGAATAAATCACTGATTCGTCAGTGGCCAGGCAGGAAGTATAGGCGGGACTAACAGAAGAATTGAGAGAACAGGAAGCTGGGTGAGGGAGACACTGCCAGCCGCCATGATGACAAACAGCATGAGAAGATGTCGGTAAGCCACGAGCCATGTGGCAAGGTATAGATTTATAAAAATGGATTAATTTAAGCTGTAAGAACAGTTAGCAAGAAGCCTGCCACGGCCATACAGTTTGTAACCAATATAAGTCTCTGTGTTTACTTGGTCGGGTCTGAGTGGCTGTGGGACTGGCGGGTGTCAGAGATTTGTCCTGACTGTGGGCCAGTCAGGAAAACTCTAGCTACACTGCATCACACAGGCACTATCGCACAGGTGTCATCTCAATCACAAAGGTAAGTCTAGAATAAAGTATTTTGAGAAACCATATTCACCTACGTTTTATTGTTTTTTATTTATGTATGAGTGCTCTGTATGCATGTATGCCTGCATGCCAGAAGAGGGCATCAGATCCCATTACTGCAGAGCTGTGAGCCACCATGTGGGTGCTGGGAATTAATCCCAGGCTCTCTAGAAGAACAGCCAGTGCTCTTAGCCCCTGAGCCATCTCTCCAGCCCCCATAATATTAGTTCTTTTAAACAAATATGAACACACACATGCACAGTTCGACGCTGTTGTGGTTTCAGGCCTCCACTGACAGTCTTAGCACAGTTTCTGCAGACATGAGGAAAATATTGTATTGGCCATTGGTCATCTGTATTTCTTCTCATTTTCTTGTCTGCTCACTTTTCCATAGGATTTTATGTCATCAAACTTTTAAAATTTTATTCGCCTTTAGCCTTGGCTTCTGGTAACCTTCTGGCTTAATTCTGCAGGACACAGGGTTTATAGATCCAAAAGTATTAATATTTCTCCTTCTGGCTTCTGGACAGCACAATGCATTTAGAAAAGCTTTTGCTGTGATAAGATTTGTAAGTATATCTGACGATGTTTTCTTCTTGAATTTTCACAATTCTTGTTTATTAAGATTTTATGAGCATATATTAATCTGACAATTTCATGCATGCACAGGATGTATTTTTATCATATACCCATTTTGTGCTTTTTCCCTTCCACTAATTCCCTTCTTTTTCCCAAATAGTCTTCCCTCAACTTTCATGTCTTTTTTTTTTTTTTTTTAAATAAATGAGTTTAGTTAGTATTGCTTATGGGAATGTGAGAAATGAGTGGCAGTACCACACCACTGAAGAAAATATCTTTCCCTGCCCTAGCAACTTTTAAGTGTCCACAGAGCTTTAGTGATGGAAAGGCCTCCTGAGCCCTCCCCTCTCTATGAGACAATGTTGACAGGCCCAATAGGTCTTGTGCAGGCAAATGTGATATAATTTTTTGACACTGAAATTTGGCTCCATCTGTGGACTGGAGAGATGACTCCGTAGTTAAAGGCACTTGCCACTGAGCCTGAAAAACCCATAGGATGACTCCTGCAGGTTGTCTTTTGACTTCCACAAGTACTCAATGGCATGTGCTCCCACACATACACAACAAATACACATAAACTAAAAATGAAAAACACTCTTGGTCCATTTGAAACTAATTATGATCCTCAAAATGGACATCATTATTTTTTCCTAAATTACTAGAAGACTGCCCAATACCAATCCATATTTTCTTTTTTTTTAAATTTATTTATTTATATTTTATGAGTATATTTTATGTATGAGTGCTCTGCAAATATGCCTGTACACCAGAAGAGGGCATCAGATCCTATTACAGATGGTTGTGAGCCACCATGTAGGTGCTGGGAATTGAACTCAGGTCCTCAGGAAGAGCAGCAAGTGCTCTTAACCACTGAGCCATCTCTCCAGCCCCCCAATCCATATTTTCAAAGCTGATATGAGATAACTTCAATATTTTTTCTTTCTTTTGAGACAGTCTCATAGCCCAGGTTAGCCTCTAATGTACTATGTAGTGGAGGGTAACCTTGAACTTCTTAATGTCTTGCCTTGGTTTCCCAGGCAATGGGATTACAGGCACATTGCCACCATGCTGCTGCCTCTCCAATGGCATTTTTTTTTCTGTGCTGTGGACCAGATACCCAGAGCCTCACAAAGGCACTCAGTGCTAAGCTACATCCTTAACCCCTTCGATGAAATAAAAAATTTTGTCATGATTGCACCACATGACAAAGCTGTATTTTTATGCTCCATACCATCCTGTGCATGCTTGTTTTCATTTTGTGTACATACAATGCAGTTTCCTGCCTCCTCCAGTTTCCTGATTGGAAAGTCTTACCGATCACATTAGTGATGACATTGATTTATTACTATATTACACCATAACAACGAACCCAAGCATCACAGTGCTGGGATTTATATTTTTCTGCTTCTGCCATTTTTTTGTTTGTTTTGCTAAAGAGCAGATTTCTGGCAAAAGTGAATAACCTTCTTTGGTTATTGAATGGCTCTTAAGGGAGAATACACTTGGAGTTAGCAGTTTATTGTAGTTTAGCCCCCGGTGAGAGCAGTAGATCTGGGGTCCTGTCCTGTTAGAATTAAAAATGAGTTTCCTTAAGGATAGGAAAAGGCTAAAAAGAAATAATAACAATAACAATAATAATAAACAATGTTTGTGTAGAATAAGGTCCAACCTTATTCTCTTATTTTCTCTTCAATAACCTTACTAGGTAAATCAAATTTTTTCAGAGGAAAAAAGGGCGGCACCAATGATAGCTGAATCTAAGACAAGGCTCCTCGTCCAGGGTTCTTTTTTTATTTCTTTTTGTTGTTGATGTTTTGTTTTGCTTTTACAGTCAGGGTTTCTCTATGTAGCTTTGGAGCCTGTCCTGGTACTCGCTCTGTAGACCAGGCTGGCCTCGAATTCACAGAGATCCGCCTGCCTCTGCCTCCCGAGTGCTGGGATTAAAGGTCTATACCACCACGGCCTGGCCTCGTCCAGGGTTCTTTGATACTCTGCATGACGACGACAAACCCGCCAAGTCTGAGGAGCTAGACAGTCTAGATCATTTCCAGGACCATTTCCCAGCCCATTCACGCGCCCTCAGTTTACCTCTGCCGACCTCGGGTTTCCCATAAGGCTGGCCTAGGGGTCTCCAGAGCGGCATGGCGAAGCCGTCATGAAGCCCAGGCCGCCCAGCGCCCTGCCGGCCCGTGCAACCCCACCTCTCCTTACCTGAGGCCAGAGGCCGCCAGGTATCCAAGGCCGCGCGCCGAGAAGGCGTGGCTCTGGGCCCCGAGCGACTTCCGCAGCGGTGTGATGACGACAGAGCGACAGATTGGCAGTGCCAGTTGGCAGCGAGCGCCGGGGGCTGATGGGTAGGGGGCGGGGCTAGTGCCCGGCTGGACCGTTTCCACGGGTGAGGGGAGCAGCCAAGCTTGAGGACTCACGTTTTAATAAGAAGTCCCTTTCATTCATCTCCTTACAGCCGCCATTAAAGACCGATAAAGGGCCCCAGGCCTCCCTGAGGGCGGAGACTGTGTGGGCTTCGCAGTCGGCCTGCGGCGGCAAGCCACGCCCCGGCCTGGCTCCAGGACGCAGGCGCAGGGCGTCTGGGCAGGCTTTGGGAGAGGCCGAAATACCTGCAGGGTTGCGGTATATGAGAGGGTTGGGAGGCCAGGAGTCCTGCAATGCCAGATCTTACCAAAATTTAGAAAAACTGCCTTAGGGAGTTGTGAGAGGTTGGAGATGTAGAGTTTGGGCAAGCATTTCGGGCAGAGGGAAATGCGTGTGCAAACAGTTACTATGGAAACGAGGAACGCCTGCATCCACAAAACAGACACCCTTCTATTCAGGAGAGCACTCTGCCTTTATCCAGAGGGCTGTGGATTTGTGTACAAAGCGGCTGCAGCTTCAAGGCTTGGAGCAGGCGAGTGTAGGAGCCCCAGGGGTTTTAATTTTCATTTATATACATCTTCCTGCATAGAACAGTAGGCGTTTAGAATATTAAAATACACAAATTGTCTGGCGTTTTCACAACTACGGTCACTACGAATTTAAAAAGTGGGAAAGAGTGTGAAGGAGAATTATCTCTACCCTCCCACTGAAGATCAAATCCAGAGCCTTCCACATCAAGCACTCTACCATTGAGTTAATCCCCAGCCCAGAGACTTTTCTAGAGGAGCTCTGCACAGCATGCCAAGTTGAACAGTGTGCAATTAAGGATGCAAATGAAAGCGAGTTGGGCAAGTCACGGGACCATTGTGTACAGTCAGTGTGTTCTAGAAGTGCTAGTAGAGCAGAGAGCGCCTCCCAGAGCATTTTTCTCCTACTGTACCAGGTTGCAGAAGGAGCTAGAAGATTTTAGAGTCAGATGCTCCCAAATCCAGTTTCTGACTTATGGCTTGTATCAGGTGAAATTGGACAAGCTGCTGAATCTGAGTGTATCCTATCCATAAATTGAGAATAGTTCCTAAATTCTTATTGAGGATTATAGATGACGCTTATAAAACTTGGGGTGGGCCCAATGAGATGGCTCAGCTGGTTAAAAGGCACTTGCTCTTCAACCTGAGAAGCTGAGTTAAATCCTTGAGTCCCACATAATGGAAGTAGAGAACTGATTTCTGTAAGTTGTCCTCTGACCTCTACATGTACCCTGTGGCATGTTTATGCACATGCACACACATATAGAGATATATGTTTTAAACCTTGGATATTTCAATAAACATAGATATAACACAATCAGTTTAATAGTGTAGTTGTTCTTCAGTTTTATTTCCTATCCTGGTGAAATATTCTGTGATTTTTACAATCTTAGAACAGAACCAGCTGACTGTGGACTTGACAGCATGTTCAGATTTCTGAGTTACACTCCCAAAGTGGGAGTACTTATTCTCTCCTTGTGTCCCACCTCTAGCAGTTAATCTGCACTAGGTAAGATGGAAATCAGCTTTCCATACCAAGTTTTAATAGTAATTCTTGACTCAGCTTTGATCTCCAATAGATCAATGTTACCGGTGTTTTGTTTTCATGATTCGAGTCCCAGCCTTGCCTCACCACTTAATTCCTAGGGCAGGGGACAGAGGGAACAAACCTGAGAGGAAAGGAGTGGGACAAAGTATAGAGGGAAAGGCAATAGAAATCGCCAGCATACACTGATTCTTAGGAAGTCCTCCCATTGTCCCCAAACCAGCAAGCTAATGAGGCCACCCTGAACTTTGTGATACAGGTTTGTGAAGAAGAAACTCAAATAAAACAGAATGACCTACCCCACATGGGCATACCTGAACATACATGACATGCTCATATTCTCGCCAGCCAGAATTACCTTTTGAAATGATGAATCTTGAACACCTGGAGTTTAGTAGCTAGCCAGGGGATTGACCTCTTTTGAAGGCTTCAGCTCTGTACTTGAGGTAAAACACATGAACTTGATAATCAGACCCAGACCAGAAGTGAGGGTCTCTCTAAGACCCCTCTTTATCACTCTGGCTTGTTCCAGCCAATTCTTGCCTTGATCTAAGAGGTTTTTTTTTTCTTCTAAGATATAGTCTCGCTGTATCTCCCCGACTACCTGGAACTCACTATGTAGACCAGGATGTCCTAGAACTCACAGATCCACCCATCTCTGCCTCCCTGGTATTAAGGGCATGTGCACTGTGCCCATCTCTCATGAGAGATGCTGAGTCTTTTCTTGGCCCTAACAGCCTGAAGGAGGAGCAGACCTGTCCAAAGGTTACAGAGTAGAGCCCTCGGTCAAATACTTCCACATCTCAGCCTGTTTTAGTGGTGTGGCCTTCAAGCAAGAAGTCTCTCTTACCTTGTCTCTTGATTGACAAAGGAAGGGGAAGTAATTACTACCATAGGATCATCTGGATGAAAATGCTAACAGACATGAACATCTGTTCCACAACTTGTCCAAGAGAAGTGTTCCAAGGCTGACTTTGGACAACTAAGTAAACAAAGAGTGTGTGAAAAGATTTTGAAATCTTCAAAGAAAACCTCGAGGCTTCCAGGAGCAGAGCCACAGCCCTGGTATGCTGAGGACTGGATGCTACAATCTTCACTATCACCTCTTTTACAGAAGGAACTCAAAAGAGAGTTCCTAGTCCTGTCCTTGGGCCCAGGTTGGCACAGATGCATCTCTGGACCATACGCCTTGCTTGAGCTCAGAGGAGAATGAGTGGTGACAGAGAAGGTCCCAGGCCTGGGCCAAGGTCTGATTCCACAGCATATCAACTCCATCCACCAGGAAATAACCCACTGACACTGCTAGGACCACTGCCCATGATGTGTGGCCATAAATTGAGTCGGTGACCATCTGATGATAAAGCCACAGCCCGACCAGCACCCCTGCTCTAGAGAGTAGGCTGTGCATCAGCGAAACAAAAACATTCTGACACATCCAGCTGTCCTGAGCAGATTCCAGGGTGGGCAGCATCTGCAGTCCCCAGTGCAGCCCCTGGAATGACATGAAGGAGGCACTGGCCACAAGGAGTCCCCAGGATGCCATAGCCCAGCTAGCTCAGTTGGTAGAGCATGAGACTCTTAATCTCAGGGTCATGGGTTCATGCCCCACATTGGGCGCCAATTTTAACTAGAAGTTTCTCCAATCCCACCAGGCCCTGTGGTCCTGCAGACACTGATAAAATAATCACTCTGAGGCTTATATTAATTACAAACTGCATGACCTATGGCTTCAGCTTCTGGCTAGCTAACTCTTTCACCTTAAATTAACCCACACCTATTAATCTATATGTTGCCTTGTGACCATGGCATTACCAGTCTGCTGGCAACTTGTTGCTCCTTGGGCAGCAGCTAGTGTCTCCTCCAACTCTGCCCTTCTCTCTGTATGTCTGCTTGGATTTCCTGCCTGGCTGTAAGCTTTTTTGTCATAGGCCAATACAGCTTTATTTATTATCCAATGGGAGCCACACATATTCACAGCTTACAGAAAGACATCCCATAGCAGATGAGGAAGTCAGAATCTGGCTTTTTTCTTTTTTTCTTTTTTTTGTGCTATTCTAAATGGAGGTAGCCACCACCCTCCATCGAGCATCAAAAGTAGAGAATTCCTTGAATATTGAAAGGTGTTGAGGCAACTGTACCTAGTAACAAATAGCTAGTTCATCTAATACCACCCAAAACAAAGACACTGTCCACACAGAGAAATGTGAAACTGAAGGCAATACACTACATCTCATCATTTTACACATTAAAATAAAAATTCAGGTACCAGGACATCCTTTCCCAGCGTGCAGGTTGCCTATGCAACATTTTCCTCTTTCCTCAGTGTTTGAACTCCCTTGCTATGAGAGGTAGCTTGTGCCCTGGCTCCCCTAAGTAGGGCTGGGGATTTATGATGTGCTAAAGGAAGCCACTGGACTGTGCTTCTGGGAAACTCTTTAATGGTGGCCTTTTGCAACCCACTCCTGTCCCGTTCCTCCTTTTATCTTGCTTAGAACACAAGGGTGGCTATGGTACCAGTAACTATTTTGTGGTCATGTAACCCCACTATTCAAAGCTATTATAGTTTGGATCGGAAGTGTTTTCTGAAGGTTCCCATGTTCAGCTGATAGGGTACATGATTTAATCCATTCATGGATTCGTAATTGTATGGCATGTAGAGGCGATGATAACTAAAAAGGTGGCCCCACTTGGAGGGTGTTGGTCACTTGGGACATAACTCTGAAGGTAAATCTTATTTCTGGCCCAGTCTTCTATTTCCACTTCCTGGTAGGAATAAGGTAAGCAGCCTTTCTGTACCACTCCTTCCACCAAGATGACTCAGCTCTGGCTAAAGACCACAGTAATGGAGCCAGCCAGCTATGGATGGAAACCTCTGACATGGTGAGCCCAAGTAGATCCTCTTTACGTTACTTTTCTTGGATATTTTGTCATAGCAACAACAACAACAACAAAAACCAAACCCAGAAGTCATTTCTCAAGAAGGGTGAATCGGAACTACAGACACCTGGGTACCCAGTGACCCATCCCTGCCAGCCTGAGCCCAGCACTGGTTTTTCATACGATGGAAAGCACCTCCCTCTTCTTTGAGTCATCAATTTCATGTGTCTTGCTGGCAGCAGAAGGCAGTCCCTGCAGTTGCCAGCTGGTCTTGGTGGCTTTGCAAATGCTTGTCTCTTATGAGTCCAAGATGTCATCATCTTCCTGTGCATAGGAAAATCCGAGGAATGCACTTGAGGCCCCAGAACTGCTGGCCATGGTGTCAGGGGTGCAGCCAATGGACGTGGACACAACTTCCTGGGTGAACTCTGGGTCAAAGTGTTTCAAGTCAGCAGGTCCTTCCTGTCAGTAGAAGCCAAGATTGGAAAGGAGGTACCGGGATATGAGTTAACCAAGGATTCCAGAGCCTGGGAGAAGGATGTCAGGCCTTCCTCTCTGAGCGCCTCCTGGTCCTTCATGCTTAGTAGTGATTGTCATGCTCCACACCAATCCTCAGACAAGCCATTTGTCAATGTCTACTTCCTAAGTGCTTACCACATTCCCAGTTCATGACACTGGGAATACGGGAGGACAAAACAGAGCAAGCCTCTACTCTCAAGGACCTTATATGATAGAGGCAGGAGGATCATCTAGGGATCTGCTAAGTCTTAGATAATAGAGTCAACTGGGGCTGTTCAGCTATATTGGACAGAGATCTGTATGGGAAATGGCAAAAAAAAATGGTCACAGACAAACAGCATAGTTGTGCACACCTGAAATCCCAGCTCTTGGGAGATGGAGGCAGGAGAATCAAAACTTCAAGATCATCTTCAGCTACATAGTAAATTCGAATTTAGCCAGAGGTGCATAAGATCCTGTCTTTAAAAAGACATGATGCTGGGCATAGTGCTGAAAATCTTTAATCCCAGCACTTGGGAGGAAAGATAGGCGGTTTCCTCTGAGTTGGAGGCCAGCCTGGTCTACCTACATAAAGAGTTCCAGGACAGCCAGAGATACATAGACAGACCCTGTCTCAAACAAACAAAAACAAAAAGAAAAGAAATGATAATAGATTCTCCACTTCCACTCCAGAGAGAGAATGTATATACCCATCTTTTTAAGATGGGCCAGTCATGACACTGCCAAAGAACTAAGCAAAGGCTTGGAAAGGGTACCTTGGGAGTTGTCTATTTTGTACTCTGAGGCCACCATGTACACAAACTCAGACTGGCTTGATTCAGGTAAAGAGGACTCAGGAAACACACACAAGTGAGGTAATTCCAGACCACCAGCATCAGCTCTTTCATTGCTAACCACAGACCTGAGGGCTCCATCGAGACAAGTTGCTCTGGTCTACTCCAAAAACCCTATAGAATCCAAATAGAAGATTGTTGTTCAGCAGCTGAAGAGATGGCTCAGTAGTTAAGAGTGCTTGCTGCCTTTGCAGAGGACCCAAGTGTGGTTCCCAGCACCCCTTGGAAAGCTACACAACCACCTGTAACTCCAACTCCAGGGGATCTGATGCCCTCTTCTGAGCTTAGCCTGCACCTACACTATACCCACCTGTGTAGCAGGAATCTTAAAGAGTCTTATTAATAAAATCAAACCTGAGGCCAGTTATTGGGGTGAAATGGAAGATCAGAGAACCAGAACAAGCCACAGCTACCTCACCTCTCTGGATCCTCAGCTGGTCTTGTTTCCTCAGACTGGAGGCCTCTGAGTCCTCATCCAGAATGGGTCTCAGCTGAACTGCTGCTAGAAGCCTGAAAGCTTAACCAGCCAAATTCTTAACCAGGCCAAATGCTTCTTGTTTCTGGTCCTCACGCCTTATATACCTTTCTGCTTTCTACCACCACTCCCTGGGATTAAAGGCTTGCTTTCTGGGATTAAAGGCGTGAGTCACCATGCTTGGCCGTTTCCAATGTGACCTTGAACTCACAGAGATCCAGAGGGATTTCTACCTCTGGAGTGCTAGGATTAAAGGTGTGAGTGCCACCATTTTCTAGCCTTTGTATCTAGTGGCTGTTCTGTCTCTGACCCCAGATAAGTTTATTAGGGTGCACAATATTTTGGGGAACACAATACCACCACATTCCTGCACATACTAACCTCCATAATACACATAGTTAAAAATAAATAAGTCAAATCTTGAAAAAGATTGCTATTCGAAGCTCCCTACTTTAGAGGGCATGAGTAAGCCAGTCGTGGTGGTTCTGCAGAGGAAAAGACACTGCCCCTGGGTCTCACGATATAAGCAGGTGAACAAGTGTGGAAGGGTCTGCAGATCTGCTTTAGCATGCAGGTCTTGGACTTTCAGCTTCTCAGAAGGGCCATAGGGTGCAGTGGTCCAGCCCAGGGCTCAGCTCCTGGACCAGAATGTGAATCTCACCCATGTTCCTTGCCTAACCTTGTTAAGTTGTGTAGCTCTTGATGACCAAATAGTTTCCTTTTTTTTTTACAAATAAAAAATGTGGTACTAGAGAAATGTGTATGAGGTCTCATAAGTAATAGCAGAAGCAGGAAGCCTCTATTATGTGCCACTCTAATGCCCATACATTACTGTATTTTCCTGTATCCTCTCCTGGAACTCTATGAACATTCTCTCTTGTGAACCAAAGTTCCTGAAAAGAACTGCACATAGGCCCAATTAACTGATTAAAGCATCGATAATTGTGGAGAGGTTGGAGTGTTGCTGGTCTAGGGCCTCATTACCATTCACCTTGGGCTGTCTTTAGCCATTCCCCACCCCCTTAACAGCCATTCCTTGCCCACCTCTGTGTCTGATCTAGCAACCCATGGCTAACAGATAAAAACCTCTGGAATGTATAAGAGACCGTAAGAATGTCTTTAGGTGGCATCTAAGGCCTAAAGCAGAGATTTGCCTATTTTGCTGTAACACACCTACCTAATGTTTCCACCACTATATTTGAAAAGGGCCTTGACTTAGGACATTTATTAGAAAATGCTCGTAAACCTGTCCTGTTGGAACATGGAATTCCAGGTAAGCTAAATCCGTGTTTTCAATATGTGTCACTCATATTTGGATCCAGGATATACTATCTCTTATTACCTCTTAATTGAGAGTTGTGTACACGAACAGGTACATGTTTAGCACTCTCCTTACTGTCAGTTTAAGTCCCAAGAAATAGAACTGCAGCGTAGCTCAGTGGCAGAGTACTTTTGTCCAGCATGTGTGAGGCTCAGGTTCCATTCCCGACAAAAGACAAAATAAAATCCAACACGACAAAAATAAAATCCAAAAAGGAGGAGACATCTCAGGACCCTGGACTAAATGTATCCTGTCTGATTTTTATCAAGAACCTGGTGCTGGACCCTGGTCCCCAGCAAGCAGTGTCTCATACTGGTGGCCTCGTGTGAGCCCTGGAGTCCGCAATCTTTCTGTTAATCAGCATGAGTGATGAGCCAGATTTGTCAGAAGTGGACAAGGCTGACACATCACAACTAAATATCAAAGAAAAGGAAACACTCCATTAAAAGAAACTCTCCCTCAGGAGAAAGCATCCAAACTTCATAAGATGATCTTGTCCCAAGAGTGAGTATCAGCACTGCCCTAGGTTCTTAGTTCTAGGTTTGCCTTTGGAAACTGTGTATTTGTAGAGATTTTAGGCACTTGGTGATAGCTTCACACCTATACAGACAGGCTAAGAGGCAGCAGTAGCCAGTGTTCCTTAAGTCTGCTTCCAAACTTCCCTCTGATATGTAAATCCCACTGCCAATAATTTCACCATTGTCGGTCATGGTGCATGAAGTCCTTCGCCTCTGCAGGGCAAGCCAACTTTGACCTATAGAGGCACCCTCAACTGCTTCATCATTTTCATGAAGTTGCCTACTTTTGCAGCTCCTCAAATTCATTTTCATTTCTAACGTAGCATTACATTAAATATAGTCATATGCTAGGGGTGGTGATGCACGCCTTTAATCCCAGTGTTTAGGAGGCAGAGGCAGGTGGATCTCTGAGTTTGATGCTAGCCTGGTGTGCATAGTGAGTTCCAGGACAGCCAGGGCTGCATAGAAAATGTCTCAAAAAAGTGTGTGTGTGTGTGTGTGTGTGTGTGTGTGTGTGTGTGTGTGTGTGGTGTGTGTTTACAGTTCAGGGACTGGTGTTAGCTCAGGATCCCCCAAGACCAAGTTCTCAGACAAAGAAGATGTATTTGCCTCAGAGAGACAAAGGGCAGAAAATAGGAGACAAAGACAGGAGGAAGAGGATGAGGAGAAGGGAAGGGCACATGGGAGAGGGGTAAGGGGTATTTGTTCCAAGGGGGATAAAGGACTGACTGTCTCTGAATAGAGAGAAGATAGACATGGCACATAGGCAAATGGCAAAAGGGGGAACCCTGTGTTAGGATGAGGTGTTTCATTTGAATTGGGCATGTTAATTAGGTGAGCCAAAGGGGGCTTTTGATTGCTGGGCTTCAGCACTTGGATAGCTGGACCTTGGCAGTCAGACTCAGGAGGAGGAAGTGGCCAAATAATGGAATAGACCTTGGTGGCTAGCTTTAGGAATGTAACCTAATGGTGTTTAGCAAGGCAGAGGGAATGGGGGAGAAGGGCAAAGCCTGTCAGGGCTATGTTTGCCATGCTCAGACAGGCTAGAGTCTTTATAACACACACACACACACACACACACACACACACACACACACACACACACACACACACAGAACTGGTGTTAGCTGGCCATGGTAGCTCACTCTTGTACTCAGTACTCAAAACCCAGTACTCAAAAGGCAGGTGGATCACCATGGTTTGAGGTCAGCCAGGGATAGTGAGATAGTGTCTAGGATAGCTTAGACTACAGAGTCTCAAAAAAAAAAGGAAAAACAAATCTAATGTCACATTCACGGGCAGGAACTCCCCAAAGGAAAAATGTGAATAGAGAATGATTAGAGAATGATGAATCCTGGCAGTATTGAGGAATGGAAGAAAGTCTACCAACGGTGGTTCTCCTTGCCTGGTGAGACACCCTGCCATTTCTCTATTGCTGCTTCCACTTCATTTTGCACACTTTGTATAAGAAATACACATCGTTTTTATCATCAGGAAAAGGCTATGTGGGAGGATCTTAAGCTGAAGACTAGCCTGAGCTACTACACCTCAAAAACAAACCCTGAATCAGCTCTGTGGTGGGGTTACAGTGCTCGAGATGAAGGATCAGCTCACAGTTCATCCTTCTAAGTCTGAACTAGCCATCAGGGGCCAGGGCAGCTAGGGCCGGCTCTCACTCTTGATGCTTTGGATGAATCTCTGAGACTCTTGGCCCCTCAGCTTCCCCCAGCTGTATAAAGGGAGTTGGCCGAGAGCCCTGGAAAGTCAGAAGCCCAAATATGGAGAGACCCTTGGGCTCACTTACCACATTTGGGTTGAAGGGTGGAGTTAGCCTCTTGTGGTACAGGTCATCCCAGTTTATGGAACTGAAGAACACATGGTCCTTTATGTCGAGCTGCAGGGAGAAGACACTGGTCAGCAGTCCTTACCACAGCTGCTCCCCAACTGGTGCCCACATCTGGCCACCAACTAGACAGAACTTCGCAGCTCTGGCTGGTTTGCTCAGCCCAGGGAGCATTCTGTTGACAGACATCTTATCTCCCGAATCATCTGAACCCAAATTTCCCTCTGCAGCCGCAGGTGCCTTTCATGGCTAGGTTTCAGCACCCACAGCATATCAGGCTCTGGCTTGAAGACAGCCTCCCACTGTCACACACATTGATACATCTTGATTCTTCCAGAATGCAATCCAGGGAAATAGAATAAACCTGCTCACCAAAGGAGACACGTGAAATAAAGCTCTAGGAAAAACTGCAGATTTCCAGGGACTCAGAAGTGAGGAGTGAGTCCTGGGCATGGTTTCTCACTCTGTTCCTAAACGGCCTTCCCTCCCTGCAGCTCTTCCCTCTGTCTGTTTCACGCTGAACAATCCTCCAACACCTCACGTCAGTACTGCCTCTTAGAGGTTTGATTTCTGTGAATGCATAACTTATTTCAAGAGTCATGGGCATGTTCTAAGATACAAACTCCTCTTTGGAAGGAAGGGATCTGTCTCCACAGAAGCCCAGATCTTTAAGCTGGCCGGGGGAACGGATAGGTAAACAGCCAAAGTGTTGTCACACATCACAGTACCTGGCATGGAGAGGTTTCGGTGTACAGAATGCTTACAAACGCTTGTAATATACCAGACACGTGTCAAAAAGCTGTGCCACCCACAGAGTGGGGGTGAGCAGTCCTGGACCCTATCCTTTAGATGCTTCGGCCATCGGGGTTGCAGTCATCTCCTCCTCATCTGAGACAGGGTCTTACCATGTAGCCCTGGCTGGCCTGGAACTCACTTTTTACACCAGGTTGGTCTAAAACTCACAGAGATCTGCCTGCCTCTGCCACGGGTGGAGGTCAGAGAACAACTTTTGGGAGTCAGTTCTCGTTTTCCACCACGTGGATCCTGGGGGTTGAACTCAGGTTGTGAGGCTTGATGGCAGGCATCTTACACCCAAACTAGCGTGCTGACCCCCAAATAATCTTACACTGAGCAATGAATAAGAAAAAAAAATTTTTTTTTGGTTTTTTGAGACAAGGTTTCTCTGTGTAATAGCCTTAGCTGTCCTGGAACTGGCTTTGTAGACCAGGCTGGTCTTGAATTCACAGAGATCTGCCTGCCTCTGCCTCCCGAGTGCTGGGATTAAAGGCATGAGCCAGCATGACTGGTTTAAGATTATTTTTAAAGTGATGCTGTAATCTTTTTTCTTAAGACATGTATGTGTCAAAACAGGAATGAAAGGAACAGGCAATGAATTCTATGAATTATTTATCCCCATATCTTACGCATCCAGCCAGATGTCTGGCAAAGTGAATTGCTCAGACATCTGTGAAAAGCAAGGTATTTATGCAGTTTCTCCGTGCAGAAGCAGGAGGAAGCTTCTAGAAGTGTAGATCACTCTATTCCTCTGCTCAGCAATCACACTCTCTTCTTGCTGTTCTCCTCCTTGTACAGACCACAGGACTTTTACACATGCTGTGCCTACAGCCGGGGAGCCTTCATCCAGTTCCTTGCATGGTTCCTCACATTCCAAGTTCAGCTTGTCGCCTCCCTAGAGGGGACCTGCCTGGCCATGCCAGTGTGAAACGGCACCACCCCTATACACCCTTATCGTCTATCTCTGCTCATTGTTCATTTCCTTCCCAAAACATGTCACACTTGGTGACAATCGTACAGAATCTCTGAGTTTTGTTAGTTTCCTTCCACCTTCAAACTTAATCACATCAGGGACCCAGGCTATTAAAGCCCTAGCACCTAGCTCAGTGCTGGTCCCGAATAAGGCTTCAGCGAATATTGGTTGGCTAAAAAACTGTACTTCTAAAAGAGTAGTCAGGGGCTGGAGAGGTGGCTCAGTTGGTAAAGCACTTGGTAGACAAGCATGAGGACCTGAGTCTGGATGGCTAGCAGTATGCAAAAGCTGAGAATGATGGCATAGTCTATAATCTCAGAGCTGAGGAGAAAAGACAGTCTAGCCAATCAGTTAGCTCCAGGTTCCATGAGAGACCCTGTCCCAAGAAATAAAGTGGAAGACACTTGACATCAACCTCTGACCTCCACACACACATATACATATACATCACACACAAAGAGAAGACACACACACACACAGAAAGAGAGACTGAGATGACAGAGACAGAGATAGATAGACACAGACATACAGAGATAGTTCAACTGGCAGAAAAGGTCATTTCTAGGGAAATGAACTAGCAGCTCCTGGCTTTACAGGGCAACAGAAAGCAGTCTCCCCCACAGGTGCTTCTGAGCTGTCCATGCAGGAAGGGACCTGTGCTCTTCTGCTTGGTCACCTACAAAGTCTGCCTTGGAGCCCAGCCGCTGCCTCTGGTCCTTGTGGAGAAGGCCTTGCAGGAGGTCACAGGCGGCCACTGTCCGGCCTCCAGGGATCTGTAGTGGTTGATGTAAAATGTTCTCATACATCTGGGCCACGTCACTGTTGAAAAAGGGGGGCTGGGGAGACAGGGAGAGAAGTTGGGCTTTAGCCATGAAACCGAAGAAAGGGGTGAGTGTTAGAGCAAACTGGATAGCCAGGAGTGTGTAGCCAGGCCTGCATCTAGTACCACAGCTCGTGGGGCAGATGAGGAGAGAAAGGACCTCCAGGCCTCCAGCACAGGGGAGTACCGCTGAGAAAGCCACAGACTTTGCCCATGCACAGGAGGCTCCTGGAGGTCCTGGGACCTCCCAACCTCATCATTTCTTCATGACTTCATAGCCATCTTCTGCCAGAGGCTGCAGATAGGCAGATGAGAGAAGACAAGTCTGGGGACCACTAAACCGCACAGCTAAGAAAAGAGCAGGACTCTAAGTTATACCCACGGTCTATCCCGCCTTGCTCTTCCTCCAGCTCCTCTACCCACTGGTCCTTCAGAACCCACAGAGCTTAGTCCTTCTACAGCATGCCACGCTGGAGAATCCAGCCCAGAGTAAAGCCAGCCTCAGGCAGGTCCACACAGGCTTCCACCTAAGCACACAGCCCAGGATGGCTCCCAATCTACCAGCACCGTGACCTTTCAGTCTCAGTTTCTCTCTTAGTACAATAAAAGTAACTCTATGCTCTGCCAAGAGGGCGTGTTATAAATGGTAACTGAAAATAACACTATTTACAAAAGATATACATTCCTCATATTCACTTCGGCCTCATCTTTCCTTCCCGGGGTAGATGGATAGCTCGTTTAATTTCCTGTGCAAAGCTAGAGTAAGCTACATAAAATGGGGACCAGCCTCAGCTTTCCCAGGACACATGTGCCCTGTAGACATCTCTGTCCACTCACCAGGCCATGCAGCATCTCGTAGAGGACTGCCCCTAAGCACCACCAGTCCACCGCTCGATCGTAAGGCTCTTTACGAAGCACTTCAGGGGCCAGGTACTGTTGGCGGAAGTACAGTTATTGGAGGATGCCTAGCCTCTGTGTCTATATCTGTAAAGAAGGCACTTGAAGGGGGTTGCTCCTGCTGTCATAGTTTCATGGCTTCTCCTGTGTTCATTAGCATCCATTCACCAGAGGCCTGGTTGGTGACAGGCTCTTTGCAGTGCACTGGGGACATACAGGAGATCCGGCCAGACTGCCCTGTAGAGTTGTGCACACTGTACATTGCACAGGAGTACCAGCCAGAGGGCGAAGGGAGCTACAACCAGTCTGTGATCTACTCGCTAAGCTAGAATGGTAATTCAGAAGCAGGGAGTGCCTTCTCATTTGCACACGGTCACCTGTGGTCACCTATCTGTATCCTAGCACTGGGAAAGCCCTGGCGGCACCTCACAATATATAGCAGGGCAACAACGGGGCAAAGTTAAAGGAATGTGGCATGCACTTGTTCTGGAATCCTTAGTGCATGGGAGATGGTCAGGAAAGGGGTGGTATTCCAGGTCACATTGGTGGATGGGAATGTGCCAGGAGCCGTGCCTGGTACAAGGGAAAAACCACAGGCAGGTCTGTTTCTGCTAGTTGCAAGGGTTTAGTGACTTCCTGGCTTGGGGTTCTCTGCTGCTAAGGAACAGAGTCCCAGCAACAGACACAGCTACCCTAAGGGATGTATGGGTCTGGAAGGGAAGAGAATCAGACGCCCTGAGCCCTCTTCTGTGTCTGGGTCCAGGCAGAGCACTGGACCTGCCAGAACTTTGGCTCCCTTATCCTTAAAATGGAAACATAGTTGGAGTGGAGGCTGGAGAGATGGCTCGATTGGTTAATGTTTGCTGTTGTAAGCATGAGGACCTATATCCAGATCCCCAGCAGTCACATAAAAGCTAGGTGAGATGGCTCACATATGTAGCCTCCGTGATACCGGGTAGTGGTGGGGGAGATAAGCAGATCCCTGGTCAATGGCCAGCCAGTCTTGCCAAATCAATGAACTGCAGGTGCAGTTTGAGACACTATGTCAAAAATATCATGTGGAAAGTGCTTATGGAAGACACCCGACATCAACCTCTAGCCTCCATATGCATACATGTGCATATGAACCTGTCCACATCCACATGAACATGTGCATATGCAACACACACACACACACACACACACACACACACACACACACACACACACAAAATACATTAACTAATAAATAAAAATAGGGACATGGAGTCCCTACTGGGGACATGGGAACAAATGTAGGTCTGTGTGCCTGGCACTCAGCAGTGGCAGTCATGGAAGAAGGGATGTCTCCTACATGAGTCACAATTCCTTATCCCCTGCTCCCTAATGCTAGTTACACCCGTTGAAGGACTGGCTGCTGTCAGGCTTTGGGGTCAGCTTTCTCCAGTGGACACCCCATGCACAATCATAGACAATGGTCCCTTCTGGGAGAGGTTACCTGACCATCAGTTCCCTGAGTATCAACTGGCGGAACCCACCTGAAGGTCCAGGCACAGCTCTGCAGGCTGGTGGAGACAAATAGCATGGCTCTTATGTCTTGTTCCAGACTAAACAGAGAGGCGCTGCTCCACTTTGCAGCCTCAGCCCTCTGCCCCTTTCTGGTGCCTATCCAACCCACAGGGACCCTTCAGGTTCAAGGTCCAATGTTCAAGACCAGTGGGAGTTCAAGGAAAGGTTTTAAACCCAAGGCAGGTCAGATAGACAGGTTCAGACATGCAATGCTGTTTATTTATATTTATTTGTTTGTTTGTTTGTTTGTTTGTTTGTTTGTTTGTTGTGGTGCTGGGGTTGAACTCAGGGCCTCATGCAGGCCAGGCAATCACTCTACCACTGAGCTATATTACCTGTCCTAATTATTGTTATTTTGAGGCACTTTTTTACAATCCTCATGCCTCATCCTCTCAATGAAGGTAAGTACAGGGTTTATAGAAATCTACAAATTGTAGCCTTCTAGACTCTCTGTCTGAAAGAGGGAGGCATATTTATGTTTAACAATTGCAAGCCCTGACCTTAACTCTCAGGCTACTCTCTCCTGGTCAGAGATGTGGCCCTATGGAGCAGTACCATCCTACACAGCAGCCACTAGCCACATGTGGCTATTGAACAATTAATTGCTTTTGCAGAGAATCAAGATTTGGGTCTAGCTGGGCATATTGGTGCATGCTTTTAATCCCATCACTAGGGAGGCAGTGGCAGGTGGATCTATGAGTTCAAGGCCAGTTTGGTCTACAAAGTGAGTTCCAGGACAGCTAGGGCTGTTACACAGAGAAACCCTGTCTCAAAAAAAAAAAAAGAAAAGGAAAGATTTGTGTCTGTTGAAATATGGCTTGACATCCCTATTTCACAATTTTACACTGATTATATATTTAAATGAGGAGATTTGAGATATATTGAGCTAAATAAAATACCTTGTTAAGTTTGTTTCACCCATTTTTCCCTCCACACCCGCCCCCCCCAAGACAGGATCTAACTATGCAGCCTTGGCTGGTCTGGAGCTTTTTATCTATGCCAGGTTAGTCTCAAACTCACAGAGATCTGCCTGCCTCTGCCTTCCAACTGCTGGGATTAAGGGATGTGTCGCCATGCCTAGCATGACCTGTTTCTTTTTACTTTGTGTGTATGTGTGTGTGTTAGTGGGATTCAACCCCAGGGTCTTGGTGAGTGCTCTGCCATCGAGCCACACCCCCCAGTCCTGTCTTTTGTACTTTTCTTAATGATTTGTTTTATTTTATGCCTATGGGTGTTTTGCCTACACATGTCATGTATGCCACATGTGTGCAGTTCTCACAGAGACCAGAAGAGGGTGCCAGATCCTCTAGAACTGGGGTTATTGTGGAGGATTGGCTGTGAGCAGCCATGTGGGTGCTAAGACCTGATTCCCGATCTTCTGCAAGAGCAACAAATGCTCTTAACTTCTGAGACATTTCTCCATCCCTGTCTTCATACATACATACATACATACAGACATACAGACATGCATACACATACATACATAATACATACACATACATGATTTATTTCAATTTTGTGTGCATGGGTGTTTTGCTTGTACCACTTGCATGCAGTATCCATGGAGGCCAGAAGAGGGCATTGAATACTTTGGAACTGAAGCTATAGACACTTGTGAGCTGACGTGGAAGTTGGGAACCAAACCCAGGTTCTCTGGAAGAGTAACCAGTGCTCTTAAGCACTGAGCCACCTCTCCAGCACATCTTTTTACTTTTAAAATGTAGTTGCCTAGCATGCCTGAGGCTTTGAGCTCAACCCCCAACATCACAATAAATACATAAGGTTTGCATCTATTTGTTTTTGGTCTCATGAAGTCCAGCTGACCTGGGACCTACTATATACTTGAGGCTGGCTTCAAACTCCTGATCTTCCTGTCCCCACCCCCCCAAGTGGCATGCAACCTCACATCCCACTGAGCAGTAGTAGAACTCACTAGAGGTAGCTGGGAGCCCACCATTCCAAAAGCTGGTTCCTTAACACTCATGAGGAGATGAAGGCTCCTTGTAGGCTGACTCAGGGAAGAGCTTGTGAGGATGGAGTGAGGCCTCACTGCTGTAGCCTGGTGGCTTTATTTAGGGGCTGTGGCCTCAGCCACTTACGGTCAGCCTTTTCCACAGATCTTTCACATACCTCGGGGGTGCCGCAGAAGGTGGATGTGGTCTCCTCAGGCTCCACACATTCCTTGCAAAGGCCAAAATCCGTCAGTACCACGTGTCCCTGTGGGTGAGAGTAAACAGGAAGGGGTTGGTGGTCAAAGCTCAGATGCCACACCCTAGAGCAACGGCTGTACAGCATGGCGAGGAGACACATGCTGCATGCCTTATGCAGGCTGTACAGCATGGTGAGGAGACACGCGCTGCATGCCTTATGCAGGCTGTACAGCATGGTGAGGAGACACACGCTGCATGCCTTATGCAGGCTGTACAGCATGGTGAGGAGACACGTGCTGCATGCTTCATGCAGGCTGTACAGCGTGGTGAGGAGACACACGCTGCATGCTTCATGCAGACTCAGGGCTCCTGGCCTGGATGCCAGGAGATCTGAGGGCACAGGCTTGGGGTGTGACACCGCAGCCTGCCCTAGCTCATCATGACTTAGGTCCATGTCTACAACAGTAGCAGCTCCAGGATGTTCTCTGCTGGGTAGCAATCCCTTGATGGAGGGCCGAAGACTGAGAAGTCAAGCCCACCAATGCTAGTTGGGTGTGAGGATGGAGAAAGGAGACAGATACCGAAGGCTATCAGACTTTAGGAGCTGCCGTGCCTAATCCTCACTGCTGGGACTTACTCCTGTCCAAAACTATGCTGCTCCCTAGCGGGCAATCCACATCCAGCAACTGAGCAGTGGGGGCCATGAAGGTCCAAATTCCCTTGTATCAATTTATCACCATGCAGAAGAGTCATCTCTGCTTAGGGCTCCCATTCTGTGAGAGGTACTGAGGTCTCTCTTGCAAACACACTGTGGCTGCCCCTCTCCCTCTGCTCACCCTGTTTTCTTCATCCCCCTTAAAGCTATATCTTTTGGAGAGTGTTCCCCAAGAAACCTACATTCCATTCTCCATCTCAGGGTCTGTCTCCAGGGAATCAGGAAACATGGAAGGTCTACAGATCCCTAGCTTCTATCTGGCTACATGTGGCACACCCCCCACCCCCCACCATAGGTCTGCATATATATATCTATACTGACATACATGCACATAGTCTCCTGTGCACATACTTATATACATAAATATGTGCATGAGCACATATGTACACAATACATACAAGAAGGTATGTTATTATATGTATATATGTATAATGCATAAATACCAATATACACAGACCATGGCTGGATAGCACAGATTTGTGCTGCATGTACACACACACACACACACACACACACACACACATACACACACACACACACACACACACACACACCCCACACACCTGGCAGTCCAAGAGAATGTTTTCTGGCTTCAAGTCTCTGCAGAAAATAAGAGAAAACAGCCATTTACTCAATGAATTGGGAACTGGGGTCCTAGCAGGAGAACTACTCATGGACACTCCCACAGGCAAAAAAGAAAACCCAGGGAGGCTGGGTACTTGACTCTAGAAAGGAGGACACCCCAACCCTAAATAAGAGACCACCTCAGTAAAAGGACCAAGTTCAGTGAGATTCATGGCCCACATAATCCCTGCCTGGTGGAGCAAAAAGGTCCCGGGACTGACTGTGAGCTGAGAGCAGGCCTCACCTGTAAATGATGTTGAGAGAGTGTAGGTAGCCAATGGCACTGGCCACCTCTGCAGTGTAGAACCGAGCCCGGGGCTCCAGGAACCTGCGCTCCCGCTGCAGGTGGAAGAAGAGCTAGGAGAGGGGACAGTGAGATGGTGGCTGGATTCCAGCTCCTAGATCACCAGACACGAGCCTTCAAGACCTTCTACTCCATGCAGGCCAGTTACCCTAGTGTACACTTCAGTGTACCTGAACCAAAAGACTGCATGCTGACCCCACCCCCAGGGCACGTGTGCTCTCCATGCCTTCAGTCAGCATAATTAAGCAGCTACTGTGTTCCAGGCTGCAAGTCAGCCTCCCTCACAGCGCTTGTTTAATCCTCATGACTATCTTCAAGATCTCAGCCGTGACGCCAGTTCCATGTCAAAGGAGGAGGAGTTACATGGATTGTCTAAGGTCCCACATCTCCCAGTTGGCAGAGCTGGAATTTGAAACCAGGTAGTTCAAGACATACTGTAGTGGTATTGTGTTCCCCCAAATATTGTGTACCCTAATAAACTTATCTGGGGTCACAGAACAGGACAGTCACTAGATACAGAGGCTAGAAAACGGTGGCACTCACGCCTTTAATCCTAGCATTCCAGAGGCAGAAATCCTTCTAGATCTCTGTGAGTTCAAGGCCACACTGGAAACAGCCAAGCATGGTGACATACGCCTTTAATCCCAAGAAGTGAGCCTTTAATCCCAGGGAGTGATGGCAGAAGGCAGAAAGATATATAAAGTGTGAAGACCAGAAACTAGCAGCATTTGGCTGGTTAAACTTTTAGGCTTTTGAGCTACAGTTCAGCTGAGACCCATTCTGGATGAGGACTCAGAAGCTTCCAGTCTGAGGAAACAGGATCAGCTGAGGAACTGGCAAAGTGAGGTAGCTGTGGCTTGTTCTGCTTCTCTGATCTTCCAGCATTCACCCCAATAACTGGCCTCAGGTTTTATTTTATTAATAAGACCTTCTAAGATTCCTGCTACAACATACTTTGTGTGTGGGGTTGGGGTAGGGTGGGAGGGGTAGACTCTATGCAACCCAGATTGGCCTTGAACTCAGTCCTTCTACCTCTGTGTCCCACTGTTGAGATTATAGGTGTGAGGCACCATACTCAACAAAAACGTGCTTTTCCTCCAACCCAAGCATAGGATGTCACATTGAGCTCAGCTTAGATCTCCCTGTTTGGTCTGCTTTGTTGATTGCAAAGCCATCACTTGGGGATGTGGAGGATGAAACCTCCCCTGTTGGACTCAGGCTGAAAAACATTTGGTGATAGGCCAAACCTGGTGCAATTGAGGAAAGCCCCTACTAAATTTTGCCCCCTTGTTCGGTGAGACAAAGCAAAGTCCAAGATGGTACCCAGCTTGTCCCTGCCCTGCTTTGGGGTTTGCAGGTGGCTCGGGTCTCTACTGAGGATAGTGACATCAGGCTAGAGAGATAGCTCGGTGGTTAAAGTACTTGCTGTGTAAGTATAAGGACCCAAGTCTGGGTCCCCAGAGATCAATATAAATACCAGGGGGGCATGGCTGCCTACCTGTAATTCCAGCCTCACAAGATGGGGACGGGATCATCAGTGCAAGCTGGCTAGCAAGACTAGCTACACTGTCAAGCTCTGGGTTTGGTTGAGAGACCCTGATTTGTTGAAAAAAAAAAATGGAAGGGAAATTGAAGATGACTCTTGACATCCACCTCTGGCCTCCATGTGCAAACACACATGTACCTACACGTTTGCCCCACACATAAAAATAGGCATGCACAATACACATACGTAGAAATAAATAAAATTTTAAAAAATGATAGTGATGGGTGTGGGCCTGTGGCCTGGGTGTGGGAAAAGGAAGTATTGGAAATAGTGACCACACACTTCTCTTGGAAGAGCCCTTTCCTAAGGTCTACGGACGTGATTATGAGCCACCTTGTGTGGGAAACACCCCTGCAGCAGCAGGGGTGAAAAGGACTTGGTATAGACTGGTTGTCTTGAGACGTGACTTGCTGAGCTGAGCCTCTCAGTTTCTTTAGACTACCACGTGGGTCTGTTGTAGGGACTCAGTGAGAGCACTCTGGAGTGGGTTTTATTTAGGAGCTGGGTGGTGGGCCCCCCACAAACACTGAAAGAGTAAAACAACCAGCTATAATCAAAGCTCCCTCCCTTCCTGAGGTCCACTCACCTCTCCTCCGTTGACATAGTCAAGCACAAAGTAGAGCTTCTCTGGGGTCTGGAAGGAGTAGCGCAGGCCCACAAGGAAGGGGTGCCTCACGTTCTTTAGCAGTACATTGCGCTCTGCCATGATGTGGTTCTGCTGTGGAGTCACACAGACAGGGTCCATGTCACAGTCTAGTACAGCTCCTTTAATTGCAGCACAATCCAGTGGCCTGGTTTATGGAGGTGTCTGCCCAAGGCTTTTTCCTGCCCCAGTTCAAATACCCACATTGGCTCTCTTTTGTCCCCAAGCCAGGCCTAGCCTCCTTGTTAATACTTAAAGGTCAGTGTCCTGAGCCTCATCCCCAGCCACTTCGTACTAGTGTAACTTCAGAAACCCTGCCCCTGGGTAACAAGCAAAGCATATACTATGACAAGATAATTGAGTCCCAGGGAAGCTCTCTAGAAAAAAAATGCCGTGAATACCTATACTCATGCCTTTGATTATAGCTGGTTGTTTTACTCTTTCAGTGTTTGTGGGGGGCCCACCACCCAGCTCCTAAATAAAACACACAGAGGTTTATTATTTCTTATGAATGCTCAGCCTTAGCTTGGCTTGTTTCTAGCCAGCTTTTCTTAACTTAAATTATCCCCGTCTATCTTTTGCCTCTGGGCCTTTTTACCTTTCTCTGTTTCTGTATAGCTTTTCTTTCCTTCTTACTCTGTGTCTGGCTGTGTAGCTGGGTGGATGGGTGGCTGGCTCCCAAGGTCCTCTTCCTTCTCTCATTCTTTGATCTTTTTTCTTTTTTTCTCCTATTTATTCTCTCTGCCTGCCAGCTCCACCTATCCTTTCTCCTGCCTCACTATTGGCCATTCAGCTCTTTATTAGACCAATCAGGTATTTTAGACAGACAAAGTAACACAGCTTCACAGAGTTAAACAAAAGCAACATTAAAAAATGTTAACACATCTTTGCATCATTAAACAAATATTCTACAGCACAGACAAACGTAACACATCTTAAAATAATATTCTACAACATTTGATCCTGCTATTTTATACATCTGGACTGCCCTTCCCCGTGTGTGTGTGTGTGTGTGTGTGTGTGTGTGTGTGTGTGTGTGTGTGTGTGTGTGTGTGTTTGTGTGTGTGTGTGTGTGTGTGTGTGTGTGTACAAGAAGTAGATGATGGATGCCTCCCTCCAGCACTCTCAACCTTATTCTTTGAGACAGGATCTCTCACTGGACCTGTAGCCTACTGATTGGGTTAGTCTAACCAGTTAGCAAGACAAAGGGGTCCTTTCTCTCCATCTCCAGAGCACTGAGATTAGAGATACATGCTGCCATGCTTAGCTTTTTTATGTTGGTTTTGTGGGATCAAGCTTAGGTCCTCATGCTTGCACAGAGAGCACTATGTCACTTTAGCCATCTCCCTAGCCCCTGGGCATGCCACCTTCTTTTCAAACAATCAGAATGTTGTTTACTGTCAGGGTCAGTTCAAGACCACCTATGCAAGAAGACCTCCCCTCCTTGTTGGCATGAATCATTCTGTCTCCTGAGTAGTTTGACTTGGCATTCTATCCTCTCTTTATCCTGTGTTGAAGGGATTCAAGTTACTGAGGCATCTAGAGATCTAAGCTTGCTGTGGAATAATCCTTCTGTACACTGTGTGAATATATGTCACTATGATTGGTTTAATAAACAAGCTGACTGGCCAAGAGCTGAACAAGATAAACTTAGGCAGGAAAGCCAAACTGAGAATGATGGGATGAGGAAGGGCAGAGTCAGAAGAGTCACCAGGCAGATGGAGAATAAGTTGGATACACAAAATGGGATAAAGGTAAAAGCCACAACCCTCAGGGCAGCACATAGATTAATAGAAATGGGTTAAGTTGTAAGAGTTAGTTAGTAACAAGCCTGAGCTATTGGCCAAGCATTTATAATTTATATTAAGTCTCTGAGTCAGTTATTTGGGAAACAGCTGCTGGTTATTTGGGAGCAGGCCGTTGGGACAGTAAAACTCCACGCCTACACAAGCTGGCCGGGCTGAGGGACCTTTGAAGAGGGTGCAGTGTGAGCCCACAGTATGTTCATGGAGAGCCTGACACCTAGAGAGGGCAGAGAGCTGGTCTGTCAGTGGATCCTGTTAACAACTGGAAGGTAAAGACCTTCTCATCTTCCAGAAGGCTTCTAGGGAGACGGCTTGGCCTGTCTTCCTTTAAAAAGGCTAGGGTCCTGTGTGCCAGCTGGACTTTCTGAGCTGTCCCCACTGGACCTTTTGGAGATGGAACCACCTTGGGAAGCCACCCTAGGCTGGGGATCAAGACGCAGGAGGGGAAGTGACCATTCCTGAGTTCTGGTACCTCTTTGCTCTTTAAGATGGACTTCTTCTGCAGCACCTTCACTGCATAGAAGGCTCCGTCGGACTTGCGCTTGGCCAGTAGGACCTGAAGAAAAGTACAGACACAAGATATCGGGGATGATGGGTTCCCCTGGCAGCCCCCACCCTCAACTCATTCTGCAGGTATGTGGTATGTGAGCCTTCCTTTTGCATAGGCTAATGGAAGACAGCAGGTGGAAGGCAGCAGAAGGGAGAGACCCCAGCCCTACTCTCCTCTCCTTACCTTCCCATAGTTCCCTTTGCCAATGACTTTGAGGAAGTCGAAGTCTGTGGGTCGGGCACTGTGGACAGGAGAAGAATAAAGATCAGCATTGGGAATCCCAGGAAGCTGGGTCTCTGAATTTCAGGTGACCTTTCAGGAGCCTCATGGCCTCGCCCCTGAAGAACATTATGTCTAACAGCCCAAAGAAGCTCAGAAGACAGATCCTCACATACCTTTCCCTACACCCAGCCCAGCGCACAGACCAGTTAATACTAAGAGAGACAATCAGGTACATGGTGCAGAAGGCAGTCTCCTCCACCCACCCCCACCCCCGCCCCTGGCCAGGAGAAGGGCCTGAAGGTGAAGAGTTGCTGACCATGAAGATGTTTGGGGTCATTCCAGGTAGAGAGCGCAGCCTGAGCCAAAGCTGGGAAGTTAATGAGAGATGAAGCTGAGCAGGCACAGGGTGAAAGGGATTCTGGTCCAGCTGGTAAAGGTTTTGAGTACACCAGGGACCTTGGATTTTTTTTCTAAAGCAAAGAGAGCCAGCCATGGGACAGCCAGGTAGGAATTTTGTCTTGGAAAACAGAACTCACTTTGGGTTAGCTGATGGCCCCAGGTTGATGCTCCCATTGGCCCTAGAGGGCTGAAGACATTAAAAGAAAGAGGCGATGAAGATCAGCAAGCTCCCTCCTCTTCCTTTGGCCTAGGCTCTGGTTTTGCCAACATTACTGCTAATCAGCTTACCTACCTCTTCCTTTATTGGTTCTCCTCCCTGGTACCCACCCACTCCTCCATCTAATCATTCATATCACACTTGCTTCTCCTAATGACCTTAAGAGGCTGCTGGCCATCACAGCAATCATAAGGAAAGAAAACTGAAGCCAGAGAGGAGTTGTCCAAGGCCTTACGTGTGGCCAAGGTGGGATTTGAACCTATGTATTTTCACAACCAATGGCATATTTTTTTCTAACCAAATCTACTTCTTATAGCCCCCAGGCAAATCTCTTTTCAATTTTCCTTGCAAATGGCCATCTCTGTGAGTTTACAGTAACCTGGCAGATACAAGTTCTGGTTAAAAGTCCACAGGGCTGGCTGATATCTCTACAGATTTCCTCAGCCTTGGGAGAATGTGAGTCCCTGGTGCAGGGTGCTGGGTGTTGGGGGGAAGAATAAGAACCACTCACCTGTGGGCTAGGAACTCCAGCTGGACTGGAGGCCATTCTGTAGCTGTGATGAGGTAGGCTCTGGGGGTACAGGGAAGACCAGGCACAAAGGAGATTGGCCTCCAGGCAGGGCTGCCCTCTTGTCCACCTTCAACTTCAGATACGGCCTCAGCAGCTCTTACCCTAAAGGCCAGAGGTCCACACATGAATGAGACAAATGACACTTGCCAGACCCAGCCTTTCTCACCAAACAGTTCAGAAGGGATGGAGAGGGACAGCTAGGGGGTCCCTGCCTGGCAGTGTCTCTGCAAAGGTTGGGGACACCCAGGACAGGAAGATTCTTGTGATTAACAGAAGCTCCAGAACTCTAAGATGGCCTCCAGAGCAGGCAGGACTCTTGCAGGCCTAAAGCTGAATATTTCCTCTTCTCAGTGAGGCACTGAGACCTTGAAAGAGGCTTTGTGTATTTTTGTTTCTCTATTTTTTTTAGGCAGGGCCTTGCTCTGTAGCCCATGCTGGCCTTGAGCTTGCTTGCTGTATACCCCAGGTTGGCCTTGAACTGCCTTAGCCTCAGAAATGATAAGAACATTGACATGTGCTACCACACATGATTTAGAACAGTACTTTCTTGGTTGTTACTGTTTTGGGATAGCCTGGGCTCTCCAGACTCACACATAGGCATGTTGGCAGTCCTGAATTCTTGTGGACAGTCCCAGGATAAGCTCTGTGTTGAATACAGTCTTGCCTGGGTACTTTCCCCAGAGTCCAGTAACCGCAACTACACTGGAAACTTTGGGCCAGAATCATGTAATCCCGTAAGTAGCCAGTGTCTGTGTGAGTTCAAGTGGTAGAAGGACTAGATAGCTGGTCCATGCAGCCAGCAGCACAGTGGGAGAAGTGTACTGTCTAAGGTTTGGTTCAGGGGTTTGGAACCTCATAGGTGCTGTACCTCCCACAGGGCTTGGTGCAAATTATTCATTCAAAGACCCCAGCTTGGCATCTCTTAGATCACCTTCTCTTCAGGAAAGGTCTTAGAGGCACCACTCTGTGGTTAGGTGGGACACTGAAACCCGTTCACCTGTGGCCAGGAACATCTACCAGATCAGAGGCCACCCAGCCCAGAAAATACCTGCAATAGAAGGGAATTCCATGCTAGGCTGGTCTAGAGGCCTCCCCCTGCCAAACTCCTGCACAGCAGGCTATAGAATTCTAGCAGAGGGAGGTGCTTCCTGGCCTCTCCGATGCACACCAGGCTGTGCTCCCACAGCCGGCCTGAGACACCGCCATCCCTCCCGAGGTTGTCCCCCATGGGTCCTGTGCCTGGCCCTGGCTGCCCGGGTCCCACATACCTTTCCAGCCTGGGCAGAGATCTCCAAGGGAGGCAGCAGTTGGAGCCGAGCACAGGCCGTGGACAAGAGAGACTCTCTCTGTTCTCCCAACAAGAGCCAAGTGTCAGTGCCTGGTGCCCCCAGCACAGAGCTCAGAACTTCCAGCAAGTGGCAGCAGTGAGGGGGCTGGTGATGTCACCCAGGATCCAGCAGTGCTTAGGATGGGACGGGAGACCTCTGTTCTCTCTGGGATACCATTTCTCCCTAGGAGATGAAGGATTATGCACCAGTCCCAGGAGAACCTGGGGACCACTGGGGACTGTAAGAATGTGTGACCATGTGGGTCAGGGAATGTGCTCCCTGCAAGTATTTTGTGCAGAGATGTGCTTTGTCTCTAGTGTGCCAGTGTGGCTACAGATTTCAGATATTTGTGTGTGTGTGTGTGTGTGTGTGTGTGTGTGTGTGTGTGTGTGTGTAAGAATGTGTACATGTGCTGGGCAGTGGTGGTACACACCTTTAATCCCAGCACTTGGGAGTCAGAGGCAGGCAGATCTCTGTGAGTTTAAGGCCAGCCTGGTCTACAGAGCGAGTTCCAGGACAGCCAAGCCTACACATAGAAACCCTGCCTTGAAAAAACAAAAAAAAAAAAAAGACAAAGAAAGTATACATGTATTGGTGTGACAGAATCATGTACACATTAATGTGCATCTGTTCTGAGTTCATCATTGTTTTGCTGTGTGTGTAGTTGATGGAATGTCCCCAGACATTCAGTGTGTCACTGTGTAGTATATATCAGCATATATTATATATGTATGTATGTATAGGTCCATCACTGTATGTCTGTGTCCATATTGCTATGTGTTGGATAACCTCTCTCTCTCTCTCTCTCTCTCTCTCTCTCTCTCTCTCTCTCTCTCTCTCTCTCTCTGTGTGTGTGTGTGTGTGTGAACAAGTGCATATGTATATAAAGGGCCCATCTGTTAGAACCCAGGGTTCTAACCAGGCACTATATAGACCACCTGGTCTAGAAAAGAGGTCCCTGGGACCTGAGCTATGGCCACGGGGAACAATCCATCTGCCAAAACCCTGTAGGTGCTCCGGGGAAGCTGAAGCTGGCTCTCTGTCCAGCTGCCCTTGGTTTTGGATTACTGAGCACTTGGCTACCTAGGTTTTCCCTATGGGCTCTTCAAGAGCTCTGGCTCACTGTCCCAGGCCTGGCTAGCTCACAGCTCTTCTGCTGTGTGAGAACTCACATCTCAGGAGCTCCTGGCCCAGGAAGGCCTTGCTGTTAGGTGTGACTGTTAGGTTCTCAGGGGTCCCTTCCTCTATCAGGGGATCAGGAGGCATAGGCAGGTGTTCTGAGGAAGGAAGGAAGTCATGGGAGCCATATAGCCCCCGTCTTCCTGGAGCTTTCTGTGTGGCTATACAATCACTGTAGGCACAGAGGGGTATTCTAAAGACTCTAAAATTCAAGGGACCTGGATGTGTTGGTCTAAGAACACTGCAGGAAACAGTAGCAGTTTCCTTTTCCCACAAAACAGCAATGTTGAACCAATACACAAGTCTGCCGGTGACATGTTGACAAAACACACATCCTTACCAAGGACATTTCTTTTCAATAGCAAAAACCCCATGGGGTCTTCGCTGGGCGGCAAGACTTTAGAAGAACAAGATAAAGGAGCTAACAGTAGGCTAAGTGCCCCTGCCTGGCACTTAGGACCACCTCAGCCATGCTGGCTCAGCTCCTCACCTTGCACCCTGGCTAAAGAGCCCATTTCTCTCTCTCTTTTTTCATTGAACTTCTCTGAGGAGCTATCCGCACCCCTCATCCACACTCCTTTTCTGTTCCACTCCTGAACTCATCGCAGATTTCATCCCAGCATCCTGAGGAATCAGTGGACAGTGGACTCATATGTCAGAGCCAGTGATGACTCCTGCATCCTCATCTTGCTCAGATGAGGCTCTGGCATCTTCTCTGGCACCCTTCCTTTGCCTACTTGGTTCTGAGAGGCCCTGGGGTTCCTTACTAGACTCTCTTCCTCTTCCCCTTTCAACCCTGGCTCAGTCCTTGGGTCTCCATCTCCATATATTTCCTATGTCCATAAACCAGTTCAGTGGTTCAGCTCCTTGTGTCTACTTCCTCTGTCTAGAAAGCTCTTGTCCCAGACGATACATGGCTGACTTCCAATAACATGGCAGAGGACCCTGCTTCAGTGACACCTCCAGGAGAGGCTTGTGCTGACTGAGAGCAGGTGACGGATTGTCTTGGTCTATCTGGGGCTTAGGGCATCCAGTGCTGAGCCTGTGAAGTCCTGAGCAAATCTTGCTGACTGGTCCACCCTCCACAGTAGCTGGCCTCTTCTCTGGAGGCTGTGTATCTGACTGTGCACTTAGAGTCATGTCCTCTTATCATGTCACTAGTCGAGTGCTCTAATTTTCCATCTCAAACTAGAACATCAGTTCATGAAGGCAGACTTTGCTTGCTCACTACTGAATCCTTTCCATCTAGAACCAGTGTGAAATAGTGGCGATGTTCATGACACATTTGACTAATGAAGTCAAGGAGTGGAATGATCAAGTATAGTATACATACGAAATGAAAAGTTATATAACCCAAACCTCTGTCTGTGTAAGCTTACATAGATCAAAATTTGGGCACACATCTGATGCAATTATCAAGGAGAAAGCAAGTTTCAGAATGGTGGGTGCGCTGGGGTAATAATTTTATTAAAGTGGGAAAAAAAGACAATGGACATTTGCATGAATGGCTACAATAAAATGCAGGAGGCCATGACCACTAGCTATTCGGTCAGGGTATTTGCTTTTGTTTTTGAACTATTGTATAAAATTTCTTATAGTGTGACTGTTTAATTGCTAAAGTACCAAGCTTCATCATGTTCACTGCCCAGTCTCCCGTCACCTTGCCTAAGACCCCATCCCACTCCTGCAGTTCCTAAGAGTTCCTTGTCTCTTGTGATAGATACAACCTGGCCCAACTTGACATCAGTGTCTTCTCCTGATTATTTTATTTTATTTTTATTATTACATTTGTTGACTCTCTCTCTCTCTCTCTCTCTCTCTCTCTCTCTCTCTCTCTCTCTCTCTCTCTGTGTGTGTGTGTGTGTGTGTGTGTGTGTGTGTGTGTATAAAACTTGAAGGAGGAGTCAGTTCTCTTCTCCCACCATGAGGGTCTAAGATTGAACTCAGGTCATCGGCCTTGATGGCCAGTCCTTTATCCCGCGGGCGATCTCACCAGCCCGTCTCTCATCCCCGAGCCATTAATACCATCCCTCCCATCACTTGCTGCCATCTAGACTTGCCTTCCCCTGCCGCATCTCTGGTGTGTCTGCTTCCATCTCCCTAGACCGGCATGGTGGGCTAGGGAAGGAGTAATACACAGATCTCTCTCTTGAGAACATCCTTCCACCAACATGGCCTGCATGCCCAACCCTTTCATGGGTCATCATTTGCCTCCCCTAAAAACTTTGCCCAGTGTCCTCTCCTTGTAGCTGCTCCTGTCATTGTTCCTGGCTTCAGTCCACTGGACTGTGCCATTTACCTGCCTTCTCAGCCCAAGGGCCAGCTTGGTCTTATTTTGTTCCTATAAACCCCATAGGATAGGAATTGTCATCATCCACACGTGTGTGTGTGTGTGTGTGTGTGTGTGTGTGTGTGTGTGTGTAGAGGGGGGGGGAGGGAGGGAGGGAGGGAGGGAGGGAGGGAGGGAGGGAGGGAGAGAGAGAGAGAGAGAGAGAGAGAGAGAGAGAGAGAGAGAGAGAATGTGTGTGTTGATGAAGATTGACTCCAGCACTGCCAACCAAGTGCTCCACCTCTAAGCTTACCCCCCAGCCCTATTATTCCGGTTTAAATGAGGAGGAAACTGAGGCGTGGTGAAGAGAAATAACTTGAGTGAGATACCATGTCAGCAAATGATATAAATAGGATTTGAACCCAGGCAAGTTGACCCCCAAACCCACAGCCTAGAATCTCCAGAAGAGATTAGACAGCTAGAAATGGAAAGAATGAAAGTGAAGATGAAGTGAATATATTAGCTGGATCATGAAGGAAGAAGAAATTAGGCAGAGAAGACGAAATGAAGGAGTCAGTTGGATGGGAAGGTAGGGAAAGGGGAAGGGAGTTAGGGAGTAAGAAAAGTCGGTAGAGAAAAGGGAGGAAGGGGGATAAAGTTGGGGGGGGAGGACATGAAAAAGACAGAAAAGGGCTAGTTAGGAAGCCATCTAGCCTAGGCAGTCAGTTGGAATACAGAAGATGCTGCTTTAAGCTGGGAGCAAGGCAGGCACTCTGCTCACAGGGGAGCCCCTCACCTCGAAACCCTGGGTCCCAGCGCAGGTCCTGGAGCACTGTGCTTCCTCCGTGTACCCAATCCTGACTCACCCAGCAACCTTCCCAAGCAGGAGTGACCTGTCACCCGCTCGCTCGCCTGTCTCTCAAACCAGCACAAGCTCAACCTCCCAGCCCTGCCAGCTGGAGTCGGCTTCAGGACCTTCCAGTTACTAATTAACTGCTGGACTGAATCACCTTGGTTGCTGTATCACTGGCTTCTGGACAACTGTGCCCTTGGGACCCTCTGAACTGTTAAAAAACTACAACTTGCCGGGCGGTGGTGGCGCACGCCTTTAATCCCAGCACTCGGGAGGCAGAGCCAGGCGGATCTCTGTGAGTTCGAGGCCAGCCTGGGCTACCAAGTGAGTTCCAGGAAAGGTGCAAAGTTACACAGAGAAACCCTGTCTCGAAAAACCAAAAAAAAACTACAACTTAAGCTGTGTGACCTTGGGCAAGCGACTTGGGCTCCCAGAGCCTCATGAGAATTCCGGAGCCTTGATGAAGGCTCTTCCAAGTCCCTTCTGACACTGTCACACTTTTGTTCTCAGATCACCCCCTTCCCACAGTCCAGTGAAAGTTAGGCTTGTCCACTTAGCTTTCCCACTTGTCATCATCTAAATCACTTCCTCATTCTCCTGGAACTGGGAGAATTGTTGCTCGGATTTCTAAAGGTCTTAATAGCAAAAACTATAAGACTAACTCAGCCCAGCTAACTCAGTCAGTAGAGCATGGGACTCTTAATCCCAGGGTTGTGGGTTCGTGCCCCATGTTGGGCACCAAATGTTGCTTGAATCTTAAATCAGTCTTAT